TTTAACACAATAAATTGGTTATTAAAGATTCCAATTTAATCAATAAGTTAATGTCTAACTTACAGTTTTTTCTTTTTTGTCGATAACTTGCAATCCTTTGCTGTGAAAAAATGCTTGAACTCTTTTGAATTTTTCCGAGTTGAAAATCGTTTCTTTCGCTGTTGCAATATTTATTTTTCAACGTAGGTTCTTCTTATCCCGTTCAAAGCCTTGTCACTACTGTTGAGTTGTTGGGAGTGTTCCCGCGTGTGTGTATTTGAATAAAGACAAACACAGTTGTAAGGATAAATACTGGTATATTTGTAAGAGGTAATTAACAACAGAGTGATTAGTAATAAGGAACGCCAGTTAGTAAGTAACAATAGCAAAAGTCTACAGTCCAACGGTATGTAATGGTAACCGGATCTCGACTGCTGTCACTGAACCTGATCCTTCACCCAACACAACTACTCTCTCTAGCACTGATTTATATCGTAGAGGGATAAGTCCATTATCAGTCAGAAGGTGGGTGCACCCCAACAATGTCCCACATCATTCTACCCAGAGAGAGGTGTCATATGCCCTACTCGACAAATAGTTTATAATGCAATCATACGCCGACCAGGAGATATATACATTATCACGTCTATGGAGGGATACGGGCTATCTCTCCCAGACCATGACAAATGGACAATTAGTAAACAAAAATATTTAAATGAACACTGTTCGATTGGGATAATCAAACAGTAATCTTTTCCCAGGTTCGCTTTGGTTTTAACACAAATACTGATCCACAATTCAAGGATGAACAATAAGGCGTAATAAATTTTGGTATAAGAATTTTAATATATACATATACACAAGATATTAAAATAATATAAGCAAAGCATCCGACGACCAGAACCTCAAGACTTATGTTGGGATACCAAAATATGCCCAAATCCAAGTGGATTCGATTGAACCCGAACGGATAAACAAAAAAATAAGTATAAATAACTACGAATGCAGAAATCAATGCATAACCAAAGAAAAAGAGATGGGATAGGATTTATATATTACTATTTTGACATGTGGAAATGTGTATGTGAGAACATAAAGTTTATGGATGCATGTGTATCTTTCTAACACGGGTCCAAAATATATAGTTACCTATCTTTATATTCAGTTCTCTCTCTTACTCATTGTCCTTTCTTTTCTTTCTCATGTTTCCTCTTTTCTTTCTTTCTTTTTCTTTACACAAATCCAATTTCACACACGATTCAGCTGCAACAGGGATATACACTTTCCTCTCTCTGGTTTTCTCTTTTCTTTCTTTCTTCTTCTTTACACAGTTCAGCTTCAAACACGGTCCGGCTGCAACAGAGACATATACTTTCTTCCTCTCTCTCGTTTTCTCTTTTCTTTCTTTCAAACACAGTTGTATTCTCAGTGTACAAATTTCCTTGCGTCTTCTGTGATAAATAACTCGATTTATCTTCTTCAATCTGGAGTTAACGAACAGAAATATATATCCTTATATTTCTTATCCGGAGTTGCTTATGATGAATCGGACAAATTCTATCATTACCAAAATGAGTCTCATCTTTCCGTTCATAAGTTATCAGTGCTTCGATTTCATGTCTTGCTCCTTCAAAGACAAGACAGCAACTGACTTCCAAGTAATTTTCTAATTCCCACATGTCCTGCATTTTGGCACGAATTCAAGTTCCTGCTGCTTCACGACCTTACGTCAGTCCCCTGTCTAGATTCTGTCTAGACGTCTGTTGTTACTGGTAACTGGGTCAGTCAACCTCTTGACTTGCTTCCCCAAAAATGACTCGAGACTCCCACATGACCTCTTCTGTTGTCAAGCAGAGATTAACCTTAATATATGCGTGTTTGGGCTATCTGCATTCATAACAGAGGGTCCCTCAATCTCATGGCACCTAGATTTACAGGTGGTTCAATATAACAACACAGAAAATAGACTAACCACATCTAGGCCAGAACTGTATGATACCTCAGCATGTCCTGGGTTCCTGCTGCTGCAACCCGGTGAATTCTCTGTGGTGATTGACACGGATTCTAGTCCCTTATAACCCAATGTAAAACATAAACCAAATACCTCAAGTAATGAACCAGAAGAAATGGAAAGTGATGACACTGCGGTTTCAGTAGGCCCAATACAAAATAATATTGGAGAACACCAATATCAGGTGACACCAGCCTCAAGTCAATGCCCACATCAAAACACGTAAGCACCTTCAACTCTATCACTACAAATGCAAGGACAACCACACACATATTCTGGAGTAAACCTTCAACTGACCACATCAATCCATCCTGTGGTCAAAAGAGGGAGGGGGCATGTAGAGTAGAAATGGAAGGTCTCATTAGATAATGGGGACTTCCACAGACAGACACTGGAAGACATAATTTACCTCCTCCAGTGTTATATAAACAGCTGAGTGGCCAGGGGCAGGGTGTCTTTTTGTATTTGTATCTAGTTGGTACAAGAATAAAGTAATTAAGAATTACTATTACCATTGATATTTTGGTTATTCTACAAATATCTGTTTTGATTGTGTCATATTCCATTAGAAATTATAAATCCTGCTATATTTGGTTTAGAAGAAAATTATTTTTCAGTAAAAAAGCAACAGTATATTCACTAATACTATATTTTGATTTGAACTTGTACCTACTTAAAATTTTGCATAAACTAATCTGACTAAGAACATCTGCAATCACACAGCATTGTATTTCATTACAAAATATTAATACCCATCACATGATCAACTAGAAGTACTGGAAATCTATAACTTTGCAAAAGTTGTAGATCTCAAAAACCATATCTCATAACCATTAATACCAAGGAGACTAATTTGGTATCATTTGAAAGAGAAATTAGATTGCTTTCATATAAAATCAACTTGTAAAACTCAATTTTCAGTGGGTTTTTGAAATATATCAATTTAATTGCATTAACATAACATATTCAGATTTTTCAACAATTCAATCAGGACTCCAGGGATTTAACAATTGAAACCTCTTAAGAGATGATAGGATTAACAAAGAAATCTATATTGAATATATAAAAGTAAATTTATCTGCATAATTTAACATAGAATAATTAGTGACACAAAGCAACATGAATTACTGATAATAATTTTCAGAAGAGTCATTGACATTGCAAGCATTGTTTGGACTAATGAACTCATTCTTGCTTTTGTTGTTACCAACAAGATTTCTGTCAATTCATTCTTGGTTTTCTTTGCTCAACATGGAGTTAATTTCAGAACACATCTCTATGTATAAATATGGAATCATTTGCATTACATTCATTGCTACAAATGTTAATATATGTGTAGCTTGCATTGCTGGGAATGAAACAAGTTAGTACTGACCACCAATTTCTGTAGAATAGAGACCTCACTTTCCCTTATAGATTGTTCACCTGATGAAAGTTGCATAATGGATCAGCTGAAATATTATGTTAACAAGAAATGCAACACAAAGAGAATGTGCAATAGTCCAAACAACTCTTGGAATAAATTACTTTGACATTCATTGATGTAATTCAACCAAAATGTTATACTAACAACAAAAATGTAGGGTTACCATACTTGTCTGCCAAAATATTTATAACAACTGTGAAATGATGTTGTCAAAGCATTATATAAGAAAAAGATGCAAAAAGGCTCATCGACTTTTCTTTTTCTACAAGATGCCTTAGCAAAAACACTTCTTGGTACCCAACAAACCTTGTGCCACATTGAACACAACACAGAATAGCACAGAGCATACAATATCCTAAGCTCACTTGACTACACACAGGCATATCTAATAATTCTACCAACAGATAAAAAAACTCTTCACAAATGTAAGTCACTCAACATCTTTCATACACTTGGATGCATCTCTATATGTATACCTTCATTCACCCTTATTCATATTCTTTCTATTTAGTTTTCTCAGACAATAAAATATGTTTACAGTTGTATATAATTATTTGTATATTAATTCTTACTCTCTTGTTTGAGGAAACTCCAATGTGTTCACTATGATATTAACCAATATTCCTCTACAAAAGCAACACAAATAGAAAGTTCAATAGTCCAGATGGTTCTTGGAAGTAATTTCTTTGATGCACTGTATATACTTGAGTATAGTGGGAGTTTTATGATCAGTTTTATTATGCAAAAAATAGGGGTTCACACTATACACAGGTAATTTTTTGAAGAGGTTAAAATCATGCATTTTTGGTAACTGGTTGCACAGATTTTTCTAGAGGGTTTAGAATTGATAAGTCAGTTTACACATGAGTATAATTATCAGTTTGAAGATTGATGATATGTGAATATTTCAAAATAAAAAAATTTAAAAATTCAAGACAATTTTACTTATCCAGCTAGTTCTCAACAAAGCATAATATTAAATAAGTTTTAACACTGATCCTTGGTGTATTACCCTTTGCATTTCTTTTGTACTTTTAGGTGACTAATAGAAGAAATTGGTGGGGAGGGGAATATTTAAGAAAATTTTTTTTTAAATTTTACAACTCCACCAAACTTATTAAAACCACCCTGCTTATTAATTTTGCATTTTTTAACTCTTTAAATAATTGTCTGACCCTCTCCTTTTATTAAGAATCCCTGTTTATTACAAATTGAGAAAAATTCCAACTCCAAAATATTAAGACTAATCTCCACCTTTAATTAGGTACCAAAGAAGAAGCAAAAAGTTTATATTAATTTTTTTCTACATTAAAACTACACTATTTGATAACAATTAAGATTTTGAATTTGAAAATCATTATGAATAAGTAACCTTGTGCCAAACTAAGCCAAGTTTAAGTAAGTAACTATATTCAAACTGTAATGGCCAGTCTTAGTTGATCCCTTTATATATGGCCTTGAGTTTTGAAAAATGTGCAATACTGATAATCATTAAAATCCAGTTGGACTACAGAAAGTGAAACAATTGAACAAACACAGGTGAGAATGAAAATAAGTAGCAAATATTGTGAAAAGAAGACTTACTTGTAGAACGGGGTGAATCATCAACATAGTCACTGAGGGAATTTGATTTTCTAAAAGAAACAAAATAAAAGAACAACATTATAAATAAAACTATGTAATATAATGTGGCACCTTGCATTATTAGAAATATTCCTAGAAATATGATTTAATTTTTTTTACTCAGTTTATTAAACAGGTTTTTTTTTTTAAAACGGAAATAACTGAAAAATTTCAAAGAGTCTAGACATCCTTACTGGACAAAGGAATTTGAAATAGCTGCTCTGAGAGAGAAGGTGCCACCAAGTATGCCATAATTTTCTCTCAGGAAGGGATAAAAACCCAAGTTGTATGCCCAAAAGTTTAAGACCAGAGATATTGGAAAGTGCCACGAAAGGTTGGGTCAACATGGGGAATTGATAGGACATGTGATCTCATAGGAAGAAAGTACTATTGGCCCAAACTGTACGGAGAAGTCACTAACTATGTTCGAGTTTATTATGGAAGGCAGGAAATGGCACCCTGAGGAAACAGACGTACCCAACTTCCCTCAAAGTGAGTATGGACGAAACCATTTAGCACAAGGAAACAACTAACTAGTTTTTGTCGATTGGCTAACAAATTGGCCTGAAGTGATTTGCAGTACCAGACAAGAAGGCCAGAACTGTGGCTTGATAATTATGGTGCCCCTGTGCAATTGGTACAGATAATGGGCAAGAAATGTGAACAGCATCATGAGAGAATACAGGTTTGAATGTAGAACATAATCCCCATATCACCCCAAAATGCTAAAGTGGAAAGGTTTCCATAGAACCTTGGGAGATGTATTGGCAAGTTGGTCAGAGAAAACATTGAAATTGGGACTTGTATTTGATTTAGGTTCTGGCGGCCGTGGGAGGTTTATTTATTAAACCTCCAGATTTTCTCCTTATTTTTTTGTTGTTTGGCAGAGACGGGTCCTGCCTGTAAAACCCACAAGCCCCTGAAGAAGGTAAATGGGAGAAGATATCAAGTAACAGCAACATAAGATATTCTACAGGCCAGAAAGAGGGCCCAAAGAAAAGAAATTTGCTGAAAGAAAGGTAGAATTGAAGGTTGGAGACCCTGTCTACTATAAAATCCACCAGAGGGAAGGAAAACTGACCAGAGATGGGAACTTTAATAGTAGAGCAGACGGACTTATCATATGTAATATGGGATCAAGTGGCAGGACGAAAGTTTTGCCAATGATCTGAAGAAGGCTGAAAATAGCAAACCTGAAAATGAGCGAGAGCCGGGCCTAAGAAGACAAGGAAAAGGAAGGTAACTTGGTTGAACCGAAGGAATGGAGACGGAGGAAGACTCAAGAAGATGAGGAGATAGGGTCGACTTGACCAGATAAAACGAAGCAGTCCGAATTATTGGAACCCTCATTAGCAATGTTCAGTCGGACTTAAAGATCGCTCACACCCCCATGTCCGAGAAAAAGAAGAAAAGAACGAGGTCCAATTTTGGTTTGAACAGGACGATGGACCCAGGAGGAGCGACCAGGAGGAACACACCAAAGGATCCGGCGACTGGGCCAGGTGTTCCACCAGGATTTAAGGCTGGTGATCATCTGACCAAAGGGCTGGAGCGCACGCTTGGAAATAGGAGGAGCGACGTCACCGCTGCCAGAACCAAAAAGGTTTATGGTGCCGTGACCAAATATCAACCCTGAGACAGCCACGCCACATATGGTGCCAAAAGAAGACCACGATTGCTGAAAATTCAGACAGAACTCAGAAACGACCTGGGACCAAAAGGAAAAGAAAGAACAGAATCGTCTGTAAGGTAAACCTATGTTGCTGTATAGACTTCTTTCTCTGTAGACATGTCAGATTATGAGTCGGAAGCAGTGGGGGTTTAGGGCGGGGTTGTCTGGACCGAGGGTCCCAGTATTTGATGGCAGCGGGAAGGAGTTTAAGAACTGGCTGGCAAAAACCATTACGAACTCTCTCACCAAGAAAACCCTTTTTGGCATATACAAAGGGAAAAGCTGCCTGAGTTCGTAGGCTGTTTCGCAAAGGTAAACATAGAGGCCATTATTTGAAATCCCGGAGAATTAAAACGTCGTTGGCATTTTAATGCGTTATGCAGGCTCAACTTTTGTACGATTGAAAGAAGGACCGCCAGACTGTCGGCAGCGATTTAAAGTGAAGAGGTGTTGTTCAGATTTGAAGGGGGTAGGCGGAAGAGCCCCCCGGAATTTAAGGGAAGAGGTGGATCGGCAGAATTATGGGAGGAGGACCCAAAATGGTCGACCAGGCATGGCTTTTATAAGCCCACGCCTTTCGATAAACCTGAGGACCACAGGGCAGCGGAATGTCCTGACGAAGTTACTTCAAAATGCACCAGGTGTGGTAAAAAAGGACACCTGGCCAATGCCCCACAAAATGAACCCAAGAGAAACAAATAAAATAAAAGCTTAGAGGACGGGTTCCCCGAGGATAGACACAAGGCCAACCCAGAGAAAAGAGCAAAATGTTGGACATGTGGTCGGGCGGGCCACTTTAATGTCCAGCATTTTTGCAGGAGGCCAGGACACCTGAAAAGAAACTTTTTTTAGAAACGGCCAGGGAGACCGAGAGGTTCTGCAGGGGGGCGAAACCCACCTCATAAAAAAAAAAATGAAGGACGATTACATTACTGCGCCTAAACCCAGGAAGAAGAAAGCTTGTCTTTAACGACCAAAGAGAACTATCCTGTAGAGCAGAGATAGGTGGTAGAGAGATTACAAGAGCATCTGTGTCATTGATGAGAGAGGAAACATACAGGCGGGTGAAAAGAAGGTTATTAAAGATTGGCAGATGGGGCTCCCTGAGATAAAAGGGATGGTGAGGCCCGTGAGGATTGGGAAAAAGCACCCAAAACTTTTACGAACCCCCCTGACCTTGTGTACAGAGGCAATCTTGAGAAGATTGGCAGCCAGAAGGCCCAGATCGAAGTTTAATTTTGGTGGTGAATTTTTTAACTAGGAAGATGTAATTTTTAATGTCTTTGGTCCCTGTAAGAAGATAAAGGTAACCCTGTGCTAAACGGTTTTGGTGCCCATTATGATGGTGAACCAGGCCCAAAAAGACTATCAAGGTTAAGAAGAAGATAGGGAGAGCACAACTCTGAATAGATAAAAGGAATCTTAGAAGGAATATTAGCACCAGATCAATTTAGAACCAGAGTGGGGGGGTCTGTTAAAATCGAGATGTTAGGTCAACCCACACAGTCGAAATGAAAAATCGACATTCACCCCCTGTGGAAATTAAAAAACCCTACCAACACCTATTAAAAAAACCCCTTGTAGAAGAGGCAGTGTGTTGGAAGCTGGGATGATAAATCGATTTCCTGGATTCCTAATATAATAAGGTAATTTGTCCAATAGACGACATTTTGGCATTATTACAAACATGAGGGCTGAATTAATACTGTTTCAGTTCAATGCATTTTAGAATTAAAGCTAATGTCAAAAAATCTATATCTTGATATTTTCAACAGTGGAACAACACTTTTTCATTTAGGACAGGTGTTGGGAAGGTTGAGGAAACACGGATTAAAATTGAAATTTGATTTGTATAAACGGAGACGGTATTAAACCCGACATGGATTCATAAGGGAAATGCCAGAAAACAGTGAGGCAGGTAAGAGGTTTTATAAAAACTACACAATTTTTTTTCAAACAGAGGACTCAAATTTGATTCAAGTGGAACAGTCCATGTATCCAAACCTAACTAAATTTGTAACCAATTAAGAGGTGGCCAGTAATAGAGAGGGAAGCATATGCTAATGTATGCTCTCCAAAAAAACTTTAGTATATTTAAATGGTGTTTCACTTAAAACAGACCACAAGCCTCTGCAGTACCTATTGCAGGCAGAGTACAAAATAATTAATTAACACTTTTTTACCACTGTAAGATAGAGTATTTGGCAGGAAAGGAAAACACGCGCAGATTTACTCTCAAGAAAAACAATTGTAGAAAGATTTGATAAAGCCTATAGAATAAGTAATAATTAAAAGCTAAAAGATCGCCCTATTTAGAAATAAAACTAAAGGCGAGGCTTCATCTGACCAAATAATCAACCACCAAAGGATCCGACATTTTGTCACAATTTTAAAAAAAAGAAAACTTGAAATATTTATCTTCCCAATTATGATTTTTATTTGTATATACACTTTTAATTTTATCTAATTTTGCACATAACTATTTCTATTCACTTTCAATAAATAAATAAAGAAGTTCATTCAGATGTAAAATTCATGCAATAAAACACTTGTACTTCTCAAATTCAGTGTTCTGTGGTCAGTTTGGATTCTGCCACCATTAATTTGTGAATCTGTTATGAGAGTTCTTTAATTTGGTTTCCATAATTTAACAGTTCATGAGAAGGTGCTAAAAATTTCTTGACTCAACCAAGAAGGTATTAGAAAAAAAATTAGATTTTTGGTGATTTGTTCAGATTCTGGGGAATGGCTTGAACTTTTCAGCACCTCTTTTTATAAACTGACTCATTACACCAACTATGTAAAAACCTAACTAAAATTTGTAACTGAATTGAAGAACAGTATATTCAACAATTTTCATTGTTTATTAAAATTAGGTATGTATTTATTAATTTTTTTTCTGTACTTGATAAATTATTTTCAAGATAACTAATTAAAAATCACAAGTATATGAAATAAACCCTATTTCCAACACAATTACATACTCACATACATATTACATTAAAACACTCCCAAACTTTATTATCTATCCAATAACAGACAATATGTACAAACATGCAAAAAATATAACACACACTGTTTAAATCAAAGTGTCTATTGGTTAGAAATTAACATCACCATATTAAAAATTTGACCAATCAGAGAAAACTGAAACACTATTTTTTTTTAGCCTACTTTTGGAAAATATTTCTTATAAAACCCATAGATTTTGACTTTCAGCAGAGATGCAACTGTCTTCAAGCTGTTCAAGCATGAGAGAAGACGTGGCTACATAGCTTTTTCCTTTCCTGAACAAAACATTTATCGGCGACTTTCCTGAACAAAATCTTTATCGGTGAT